GCAAAATCTAGCATCCTCCTCCCTTTACTAGGACTTCAGGCTGAAGTTTCCACCCATCGCATGCTTGTTAATTTTTTTAAACAACCTTAATAAAGTAGGTCCCATAAGGAAGGAATATTTCCCTGTATTTAAGAGAATATAGGAGCAATATGAATTGCAGAATACATGATGGAACATGTAGCAGAAAGGGAAAGGAGCCCTTTGACAAACTGAGAGCCCCTTACAGAACTTCCCCCCTCCATTATCATATTTAAATATTTAAATTAGGAAGATATAAATATTGTACCAACTTGGGAGTAAGGCAGACAAAGTAAACAGTTTTGCAACCATTGAGCTGTAGAATTACATGAAAAACTGCTATTAAAAATCAGTGGAAAAAGGGATGTATCTTCCACAGATTGCTTTTATACCCCAGTATAATTTCATAGGCTGGGTGCATAGCTTTTTCTATCACCTTCCCTCTGAGTTTACTCGATGTGTAGAACTGCACAAGAGCAGGAGATGAGCTTTCAATTTTCCCAGAGTATGATTCTGTTCTATCTTGTATACTCATGACATTTATTTTCCAGCTCCTAAGCAGTAAATACTAGTTTGGGTTTTTACTAAGGCTAAGTGAATTTAAACAGTTCTACAGCTCCTGACCTTTAACACATCTGCTGCTGTAAGGGAGGTTTTTCCTTTGTGTGGTTTTCCATACCTCTACAGATTTGAAATACATTTCTCCCGCACAATACCCACAGTCACAAACAAATTACACTCCCTGTGTCAACATCTGAAACCAAGTCACTAAATCACAACGTGCTGGGACGGAATTGCTGCCCCTATCATCTACCACTCACTGCTATCAAAGCCTATAACTGGATTAGTGGGAAAACAGCTGTATTACTCATACATTTAAGCTCTTTCAAACAGCAGGTTTTCACCCTGCAACAAAGCACAGCACTTCAGATAAGAAACATGCAAATCCCAGAGGAAACCATGACATGTTAACCCTTAGCTATCTTTATGTGACTTAATAGTTCATTCAACCTTTCTTCACTGAAAATAAATGCAAGAACTATGTTCAATCAGTAGAACTAATGTTTTTAAAACATCTACTTTTGAGCTTTTTTCCCCTAGGATTTCTTCAAAGACGAGGCACAATTCATTAAATCATCCTGTCACTTTCAAGAAGTGATTGGCATGAGCTTAAATCCATGTCTTTCAGTTGTGGGCATGAATCATCATACATATGGGCTTTGTGGGACAACATCTCAGCAGAGGTTAGCAGTAAAACAGCTCTGTAGTTAACTCAAAACCTCATACTAAAGACTCTATGGTTATTAAAGCTAACAAGCCATAAAACAACTGTCATGTTTTAGGCCAAAAGACCCATAAGGGAAAGAAAAATTGTAGATAACTTCCAGTATAGTGCTAGCGTTCACATATCCATCTGCTAATAATGTATTAACTGAACATTTTCACTTAGCTTTTTGGACTTTTTATAAAGCCAATCACGTCTAATAGCAGGATTCTTCAAGAGAAAATTTTTTTAAGCAATAACGAGAAGCATATTGAATAAATCTACATTTATTTCACTGAGAAAAAAAAATTTGAGTTGATATTTTGGGTTTTGGATTTATTAAGAAAGCACTGGATTTGGACTTTGGACATGCCTTCTCTGTTACAGAATACTCTGTGAGTCATGATCATAGACTTATAGAATCATTTAGTTTGGAAAAGACCTTTAAGATTATCTAGTCCAACTGTTATACTAATACTGCCAAGTCCACCACTAAATCATGTCCCTAAGTGCCATATCTGCACATCTTTCAAAAACCTCCAGGATGGTGACTCCACCACTTCTGTGGGTTGGTAACACTTCCAGAGAAGAAATGTTTCCTAATATCCAACCTGAATCTTCCCTGGTACAACTTGAAGGCCGTTCCCTGTGTCCTATTGCTTGTCACTCATGAGCAGAGGTTGCTCTCCACCTGGCTACAACCTTCCTTTCAGGTAGTTGTAGAGAGTGATGTCTCCTTGAGCCTCCTCTTCTCCGGGCTAAACTACCCCAGTTCTCTCTACCCTTCACCAGGGGGGTTGCTCTTCTCTGGACATGCTCCAGCACCTCAGTGTCCTTCTCGTAGTGAGGTGCAAAAAACTGAACACAGGATTCAAGGTGTGAGCTCAGCACTGCTAAGTACCAGGGGACAGCCTCTGCCCTTGTCCTGCTGGCCACACTGTTGCTGATACAGGCAAGGATGTCACTGGCCTTCTTGGCCACGGGCAACTTTTCAGCCACTGTTCAGCCACTGTCAACAAGCACTCCCAGGGCCTTTTCCTCTATGCAGCTTTCCAGCTACTCTTCCCCCAGCCTGTAGCACTGCATGGGGTTATTGACCAAAGTGCACTTGGTCTGGTTGAACCTCCCACGATTGGCCACAGCCCATCAATCCAGCCTGTCCAGATCCCTCTCTGCAGAGCCTTCCTACCTTCAGCAGATCAACACTCCCACATAACCTGGCTGCAAACTTACTGAGGGGGACTCGATCCCCTTGTCCAGATCATTGACAAAGACATCGAACAGGACTGGACCCAACACTGAGCCCTGGGGAACACCACTGCTGACCAGATGATCTTTTGTGTAACACCATATCTCTAGATGATCGTCAGACCATTTGGAAAAATAAAAAGATATTATTTTAAAATTAAACAAGAATTAATGAGCCATCTGCCATTTAACACAGCACCTAAACGTAATAAATTATCAAGCTTTTTGACAAAGGTATAAAAGAAAGAATAAATGGGAAAAAACTAAGCAATAAAATGTTGAATTTAGTATTTGAATAAAAAGATCTCAGACCTTCTAAATAAAAGCCATGTACGAAATTTTCAAAGATCTGACTGAATGATCAGAATAATGATTGTTCTAGTGCCCTGTTGTACTTCATATGTAAAGATACTTAAATCAAACAGAAAAATAAAGTAATATACATGCAGAGAGTACAGCAACTAATACCAACTTTGCAGTGGATTAATTCCTCATAGAAGTTAGGCCTGTGTACATGCTTTTGTGAATAATCCTAAGAACAAATAATTCTGATAATATATCACCTCCTTGAGCAGTGGCACCTCTAGTGCTAACTTCGAGGCTTTAGTTGAATGGTGGAAAAACTGAGTAAACCAAAGTAAAAGCTTTTTTAAAAAAAGGAAAAATAAATTTAAAAAAGACCAAACTTCTGCATTCCATTCTCTCACTTGTAGAATGCTTTGTAGCAGTACAACCATTTGTTTCCTATCTATAGCATATGATTTCCTGTCTGTTAGAGAAATAAAATATGCACGTGTCATATCACAGTGTCCACCACAATTCCACTCGTAAATCATCTGAATACATGAAAATATTATACAAAAAGAATTACAATACTGAAAGTATCTAATATAGACTTTTAAATTATAAGTGCACAATACCAAATAGCACTTTATAAATAAGAATTTAGAGATGTTATGTTCTATTATGTACATTTCTGTGAGTGTTGCCCTCCTCTGATGATGAACACAGTCCAACCAAAATGTACTCTTCCGTTCTGCAGTCAAATGTCTGCTGTGAGCCTCTAAAGTTCATTCAAATAAAAAAAAGATCCTTATATATTTTAAGTTACAAATCAGTGGGAAAATGTACTGTAGAAAATATTCAAGGATTTCCAGTTGTTTTTTGACACAAATCCCAACCTTGGGACCTCACCAGAATAACACTGAACCTTAGCTAATAAAATACCCAGAGCCTAAGAAAGGCTTAGTTTTAAGATACACTATTTCTGGTCATCTGGGAGAAAGTGTAAGGAGAGAGTTTGGAAAACTGTATAAATCAAGGGGTAGTAGGGGTCCAGATTTTCCAGCAGTGAAAGGGGGCACAGCTCCACTGAACATAGTAATCAATTTCCATTACTTTAGGATTAAAAGCTTTTTGTTTTTTAAATCACTGAACCAAACAATGAGGTTTTAGCTCCCTAATACCATTATAGAAAAGCTTATTTCCTTTAATAATAATAATAAAAAACATTTTTCTATCTTTTTTCACTGCGATTTATATTAAAGAAAATGGTCTAATCTACTATTAAAAACTTTAACAAAGGAAAAACTATTGACACTAAGGGCTTGTCTGCTACTTGGAGAAAGGTCTGGTTAGACTGACAGCAAACAACGAAGCAATAAGTGGTTTTAAAAAAGATTTCTTCTAGTTATTTTTCAGGTCTTTCTCCCTCAGGCTGGCTACAACACAACTGCAGAAGTTGAAAATTATCTCCAAAATCATTCCAGTTACTCATCATTCAGGCTGTCTCTTGTCATTATGAGTATGTCAACATTCCTATCCTAAATCCTTAGAATCAAAGCTCTACAGTTGAACAGCTTAATAAAAAATAAAAAAAGCCTTGCCTGAGGCTAGGACATGACATCCAAGGTATCAGCCTGAAAACTGAAAGTTGCCCATACCCTCTATTTTATTATTTATTATGGGAAAAAATTGCTTTGCTACCCATCAAGTTGCTAACTGTAGAACTTCTCAGCAACACCTCTTTGGCAAGTCAGATATATGGCTGTACATATTCTCTCATCATGTTCATCATACATGTTCTCTCATCATGCATCAATCAACACGAGTAACCTGAATATCTGCTGTGTGGAAAACTTGGAAATTATCAATTATTTCAAGAGAATTTGAATACACCAATCTAATGAAAGATGTGTTATAGAGACCATAGTACTATACTGGAAAGGAGAATTTGGTTTTGCAGAGGTTTATTTAAATGACTTTTGCCCTTCACTGAAATGTATATATAATAACAATTCCAGGACATCCATTTTACTTTATAGGAAAAAAAAATCCAAATGCGATGTTTTGCAATATATTTTAAGTCTCTCTGCAGCTTAACATTCAAGTATCTCACATCCAGGATTAAAAACAGTTTGCTTATAGCTTTGTTGACAATGCAAATTTTGTAGAAAGAACAGATACTCACTGAAACTACATTCACAAAGTCATCGTCAGACAACGTCTCTAACATCTCAATGACTGAGGTGCGGATCAGCTTCAATGTCAATCCACTGACACTCCCACTCCTAACAAAAATCCACAAGATAATAAAAAAGTTGAATTTAATAAATGTTATGTAAAATGTACAAAGAAAATACAGAACACTCACCAGTACTCTGATCAGCTTTCACACTAAAATTATCAGTTTAGCTCTTGAATGCTCCAACTCATCATTAGTATTATTACACTATTAATAATTACTAAATTAAGTCCAAAACTGTCATTCAAAGTCCCAGTCCGGTGGCTTAGTTGAAGTTATAATGATACATCATTTCCTCACTTTCTTTTCAAGAAGTCTGAGAAAGTTTACCAATGCCTTATCTAAATATTTTATACTCCCACACACAGATTTACAGCCTTAGATTTTAGATGTGCAAATGACAGCTTGTTTGATACAAGGCAAAATCTAAGCTGAAGTGAAGAAATAACAAGTGTTGATAAAACTCACTGCTGATATGAAAGCACTTCACCACATGTGAAGGTATTAAATGCAAATTCTCTGACTGAGAAGCTTTGCAGACAGAATAAAGCAGTCTGAGACATCAGGTTCAGTGCTTCCTTCAGTCCCTCAACATTAGCTACACCAAGGAAGCCTCATCAGTGTAAAGACAGCTTTCATTAATTTGTTTGCTCACTTTCTAGTAATGTTCTACAGTAACCAAATGTATGGTAACACATGCAAAGTCTGCACATGTTCTCATCTTTCAGGCTTACAAAATCACAGTTGCATCTACTGTAATGCTTCTAGTAATTTGGTTTTAGGTTTGTGTTCTACAACAAATCTTGGTGTGCACATGAGAAGTATTCACTTGATTACTTCTCTAATTAGTAAGTTGAAAGCAGAATAATATTGAAGAGATTAGAAAAAACAGCTACCTTGTCCCCAGCTACCCAAAGCAACTCTCAGGTTTGGTTTGGGCTTTTGGAAATATTTTTTACTGTGTATTTATTTTGTTCATACCAAGAGTTTTGAACCTTGCATATAAGGACCTCTTAATCCTCTCTCTATTTTTCAGCACACAGAGATTTGTTCAACACTTGTAGGTACTTTTATCCCTCTAATGTCAATATTCAGACATTAAACACTTACGCATCAACTAAAATAAGCATGTCTTTGGGAGATGCAGCTCCTTGGATATACCTGAAATAAATAAATGACATAATTGAGACAAATTTGAAAACACATTTTTTGTGAGTGATGGAAGACACTCTGTGATCTCTAAACTCAAACTGGTTGAACCAACAAAATCCTGCTGTTGTATCTAGTACAAAAAACGTGCTGTTGTTTTCTCTCTTGCTGTGTCTTCTAAGTAAATCAAAGTGTAAATCACGTGGGGAAATCTGGAAGTAGAATACACTGATCAAAATTCACTGTTTTCAGATGTTTAAAAATGAAAAAAATGAATGCTACTTCAGAGCTAAAGATCTTGATGACACATGAATTATTACTCAGCCCAGCTTAGGGACAAATATTCAGTCCTCTGAAAAAAATATATCCAACTACATCCAAGTATCAATATTCTTCATGTCTTGAGAGGCTTATAGAAAAAAATCGCGAGAAGTAATCCCACTGCTCTCCTGTCTTTTAGTAATCTAGTGATTTTATTGCTGGTCTAAACCACTGAGACATTTTTTTAAACACTTGCAAAAGTCTGGAAAATGGTTCAGTCTAATACTCTGAATTATATTTTATTTTGGCACAAAATAAAAAGTTTTTAATTGCCTTATAATTTTATTTGATAGTTATGAAAAGGTCCACGCAATGCAACACTGTGACACACTACAGTGGATATTGCACAACAAGGAATATGATTTGAAAATTGTTTATTCAGAAAAATTAACTAATTTTAAAAAGGAAATAACAATACCTAAAAGTAGGGACTATCAGATATAAATAAACAGAAAACAATGTTTTTACAGTAATATCTAGAAAGTAAGTGATGTATATATGTACCAAACTTTTAAAAAGAAGGCTTACCATGGTCTTCTGCGTACATCATACAGATCTATTTTGTTAGGAGTTCGGCTTTTATCTACCCATGGGGAAGCTAAAAAAGAAAAAAAAATAATGTATGGAATAAATTAAAAACTTCATCTCAAGTATTTGAATTACAACAATATAATGAATCAACATCACAGATTTTGCACTACATAAATATCAACACTTGGTATTGATAAAAAAAAATCTGTGTAATATGTTGTTGCATTATCTATATATCCTTATATATGATCATATAATATAATGCAATAAAACTGTATATATAAAGACCTTCAAGGACCAAGTGTGCTGAAGAAACAGGTACTGACTATAATTGACCACTGATTTCAATGGAACCAGAAATTCAACTGAAGTACTTTAGAATATGAAATAATTTTTAAAAGAAATATTTGATTAAAAAAACTTATACGTTAATTATTATTGCTTACAGTAATGCTGTACCAAGCTAAAGTTCATTTATATACATAAAAACTTGTACACTGACTCAAGAGGTTTACCTAAAAAAGCAAATTAGAAAAGTAACATGAAAGTATCATATTTTCTGAAAGCAAAATAAGACGTACATGCTTGTGTTTCTGTAAAGAAAATGTTATGACTGATAACCTTTTGCGGGTGTTTAATCTAGACTTCACCATGATTTTCAGCAAGGACAGGAATTTTTTCCTTACTGAAAAAACAAAATGAGCCTTTCAAAACCACTTGACAGCTTAATGAATGCAAATAAAAATGTGCAAAGTTAAAGGGAATGAGATAATGTTCTGCAATTTGTTCTCTCACTGTATGTCAATGGCCTTAGGAAAGCTATTTCCTGACACTAATAATTTTTCTGTCTAAGAAATAAAGAAAGATATAAGCAGATCCAGGATTCTTCCCAAAAAAGCATTTATCAAAGACAAAATGGAAGAATTATGATATCTTTACCCATAAATATAAAAGAAGCCACCAGCTTTGAGTAGCTGCCTATTTTTGATATTATGAAGTGAACCCTTTCCTAAGTCACCAAACCCTGAGTTGGCTCATCACCTACCAGAACATTTAAGTCAAGTGTAACCCACAGGACATTTATCAGTACACATTTAACAGCTGTAGAAAACACTGTGTATGGCTGCACACCAGGAGAACCTCAAAGTCTACACCAGTATTGTCTGTGATCCCAGACTAGACCACCTGGCAGGTCCTTTGGGACCTGACAGCAGAAGAGTATTTGAAATTTCCAGAAATTAGAAAATTGAATTTTTAAGACCGATATATGTTAATATTCTAACTTAAGTAACATTACTTAGGTATGCACAGGTTAAATTCACCAGTATTTATGAGCCCACATGGTTAGCACATATTCAATGACAAATTTTTTGTGTCTGTCCAGGCTATCCTATCCATAGTAATTCCATCTGAAAACACATCCTTCAACAACGTTCCCTGAGACTTGCAAAATCTGCATGCAATGTACTCCTTTCAGCTTGTATTATGATTGGATTAAGCAAAACACCAAATATAAATCAAGATACTGACCAACAGTGTATTTGGCTATATCTTTGCCAAAACTTCCAGTCTTTCCAGTGACACCCAATAAAAGGCTATGCCATGCCAAATCTGTCCCTGTTAATAGACATGTATCTTGGACAGTCTTCATAAACAGAGAATTATCTGAATGCATGATCTGGATTTATTTCAAAACAACATATAAAATGCAATTTACACTGGCAATGTCACTTTTTTCACATGAAAGGTAAGTCCAGCTCCTTAAGTGCATTCTCCAAAGCAAATGGATGGTGGTTCACAGAGAATTTCAATGCAGGAGTGGAAGAATGGTCCTTCTAACACTATCATCATATTCTACTGTGACGGTAGATACTGGCATAGTTAACCATTTTAAATTGAATCAATGTTCTAAAGACACACAAAGGAAGACTGTCCCTGTAGCCAATATAAATTATCTACTGAAAACCATCATTAGCTAAAACCATCATTAGCTAAAACCATCATTTAGCTAAAATTTATCTGATATCATAACCTCAAGAAGATGATAGTGTAACTTCACATACTATTTTAAACTCTCTAAGTAAACTTTCTAAGTGCTAAACTAAAATTTAAAGAAATATAGGTTAAGACTACCTTTTACCTGTGTAAAAGAAGACTATGAGAAATAATTCAGCTTCTTTTTTCTACAAAATTTGAGACCTATAAACACATGCTAATGTTATAGCACCTGACATCACTTCCTCGAAGTCAATGCCAGTTGTCTAGTCAGAAAGCACTTCAGAACTGGGGCTTTTAGATCACTGTATGGCAAATCTTTCAGAAACATGAAGAGCTAAAATTAACACCAACTAATACATCAAATAATAAAAATCTGAAATGCCTGAAACTTTCCCTAGTATTTCCAAAATCACCAAAAGTCTTTGTATAACAAAAGTTGATTTATTTTTTTTTTAAACTGTAATGCACACCACAACAACACTTTTAAAAATTACTTCTTTTCTTTCTTTCCCCTCTAAATATGGAGAAGATTCTCAAAACTTCTGGTTGAAACAGAGTAAAATGAAGGATATGAAGACAAATGTTTCCAAATTGTGCTTCAGTGGAATTCCTTCTGTTAAGACTTGAACTGCTAAGCCTTGCACTTAGTTCTACCATAGCTTTTCAGTAACATTCTGAACTGCAACAAGGTCTGAATGGTCCCCTTCTGGCTACATCTACATTAGTAGGATAAAAAGCACAACAGAAGGGAACACATTCACCAGAACCAGGCCAAGAACTATTGGAACAGGACAACACTCCAATTATACACAAAATAAACTGTGAATAAACCACTCATCACACTACTTGCAGCCTATTTAATCCTTTTGGAGATAACTTTCAATGGTAACACAGTTTTTCTTTTTGGGACGTAGACACAGTGCTGAACACAACAGCTAAATTCTACTTTTCTTTTAGTACAAACACCAGAATTTCCATGACTGAAAAATTTATGATCAGATATTAATGGGTGGTGGATTATACACTTATTAAGACGCATAAAGTTTAATGAGAAAACTGTTTCTATTGATATTTATGATGGTTTCTACAACAGTTTGCATAATCTAGTAGAAAATCTCTGCATGGCTAAACATAAATAAGGACTCAGGACTTAGTACCTAAAATTTCATTCACACCAAAGAAGTGCTGAATTCCCTTTTCAACTTCAAGAATTAACATGACTAAATTACTCATTCATCTTATACTCTCTCTGGAATAGCACTTTTAATTTTAGATGGCTTTGAATGGTCTCAAATCTATTCACTGGTTTTGGTAACATTTTGAGTATTTATGGATATTAGTGAAATGATTATTAAGAGGAAACTGAAATTCCCTTATGATATTTGATCTCCACTGATCAAATTTAATGTATCCTGATTAATTATTTAATTTTTTTTGGGGGGTCAAAGGTGATAAATACTTTCTATGCAAAACCAAATATACATCTATAATTATACAGAAATAATGAGAAGGGATGGAGACCACTGAAAGAAAAATGTGTTGCCTTATATATAGCATATACTATAAAGACATTTGGGGAAACTGGCTTACATATTACTGACAAAAGCCATTACATGGCCTAAGATGAAGGCAAAATTAAATACACAAAAAATACGTTTAAAATTTTTTGCTAAAAAACTAAAATTGCAGATCAAGGATTAGGAGAGTTACAGTTTTATTTACATAACTTATTTTTTAACAATTTTTTATCAGATGCCTTGGAACCCAGCTCACTAACATCTTCAAGAAATCTGCCTCCGTGTTTCATTATTGCATGTGACTATCTTTGAACTATATCAACACTGCATGGTTCTCTGTTGCATACATCAGGCTTTAGTCATGTTCCTCTTTGATGATTTTGTTGCTTGGCGTGTGGATATATTTGATACTTTATAAATTATTCATTGGATTTGCTATCCTTCCCACCTCTGTTGTTTGCATTATGGAGATACAGGACTGGCTATATTTCAAGCAAGAGGAAGGTACGCTTTCCTTTCACTCTATATGTGCTTTACTTCTCCACATTCAGAGTGAAAATCCTCAGTTTTGTTGATTACAAGCAGAACCAATTCATGCAGTACAGAGACTGCCACAGGATAAAGCCTAAATGAAAGTATTTGTTAGGAAAGGTTGTTGGCTACAACCTCCCATTCTGAATGCATGACATGATTCCAGAGGCACAGGTGAGCGTCATAAGGGAAACTTTCCTGAAAAGTCCTGCCTGCTCTACTGATTAGGTATGTCTGTGTGAGGAACTGATAGGCAGAGATGAATTATTAACAGCTTTACATCCCTTTGCGTTATTAATACACTTGGGAAAAGAGGCTAAAGCTGATAGTAAGACAGGCAACAAATGCCAATAATAAAATCCCAGACAGCATCATCTTATTTTGACTCAAGCCACATTACCTTTCCATCTCAGAGGGTTACTTGGTAGTTAACCTCAATATAGCATTTACCAGGTGTGACATCCCACCAGGTTAGACAAATAAATATTTGTTACAGTTGAATTTTACCTTGCTATCTCCCAAATAAACATTTATGTGGATAATCAAAACAATCAAACCCATAGACTATTCAGTTTCCTGAGCCAGATTCAGTAAAATCTTCCTCAGGTTGAGCAAAGATACAAGCTATAACAAATACTTTGCCGCTTAGATGCTTTTCATCTTTTAGTGAACTTCTGTGAAAAAACCTGCATCCAGATATGTGATAGCCCAGACTATTTGAGAAATGTGATATTCCTCAGCTTATTACTCAGAAAGAAGTCAATTTAATTTCAGGGTAGCAGCAGCACCTTTATAGAATTCCTTAGCTATTTTTCAGTAAAAGGTGAAAAGTGGCAAGACATAGTAATTAAAAATAAGTCACAGCTTTAAGAGCCTCTTACATTAATCACCATGAAGTGTTTTCAACTGCTAAGCTTAGTACTCAGGATATTTGCATCATAATGATGCCTTGGATTAATAACTGGTTACTACCATCCCCCCCAAGTCAGAGACTGCCCCTGACCAACTCTGCACTACCACA